TAGTTTATTCCTTTTTAATGTTCAGTAGTATTCGATTGTCTGGAAGTACTACAGTTTGTTTATGCATTTATCTACTAAAGGACTATTCCATTGTCTGGAAGTACTACAACTTGTTATGTATTCATCTATTGAAAGACACTTGGACGTTTCCAGTTTTGAGTAATTATAAATAAATGGAGCTGCTATAAGCATTCATTATATGAACATAAATTTTCATTTCTGTAGGATAAATACTTAGGAGTGGGATTGTTGGGTAATGTGGCAGATGTGTGTTTAACTTTATAAGGCAAGTTTAGTGGTGATGAACTCCCCCATCTACTTTTTTTGGGGGGAAAGTCTTTATCTCTCAATATCTGGAGGAAAACTTTTCCAGGTAAAGTATTCTTGGTTGGTAGTTTTTTTTCTTTTAATAGTTTTAATATATCATCCCCCTCTTCCTGACCTGCAAGGTTTTTACTGAGAAATCTGCTGATAGCTTTATGGAGGCTCCTTTGCATATGAGATATTTTTTTCTCCTGCTGCTTTTGAAATTCTGTCTTAGTTTTTAGACAGTTTTATTATAATGTGTCTTGGTGATGATCATTTTGGGGTAAAATTTTGGTGGGATCTCTGAGCTTCATGAAGTTGGAGGTTGAACCTCTGCCCATATTTGGGAAGTTCTCAGGCACAATTACTCTAAAGAAGTTTTCTGCCCCGTCTCTCCCTCTGTTCTCCTTCTGGGACTCTATTATTGTGTAGATTGTTTCTCTAAGTCATATCTCATAGCTCACATAGGCTTTCTTCACTCTTTTTGTTCTCTTTTCTTTGCTCTTCCCTGACTGGATAATTTCAAATGATCTGCGTACTACTTCACAGGTTCTTTCTTCTGCTTGATCCATTCTCTTTTTATCCTCTCTATTACATTTTTCATTTCATTGATAGTATTATTCAGCTCTGAAACCTTTTTTGATTTCTATCTCTCTGTTAAACTTATCATTTTGTTCACATATTGTTTTCCTAATTTTGTTGAATTGTCTTTCTGTGTTTTCTTGTAGCTCAAAGAACTTCCTGAAAACAATTATTTCGAATTCTCTTTTGGGCAAAATGCAAATCTCCAATTTTTTGGGTCAGCTCTGGAAAATTATTGTGTTCCTTTAGTGGTGTCAGGTTTCTTTAATTTTTCATTTTCCTTGAAGTCTTGCATTGCTGTCTTCACATTTGAAGAAGTAGTTACCTCCTCTGTCTTTAATGATGGGATTTGGGAGAGAAATAGCTTCTGTCAGCCCTCTTAGGCATTATGAGGCTTTCTCAGACATTTTCTATGGCGACACCTGCTGCACACTTCTTGTTCCCTCTTGGGGGATAATTCTTAAGACTATATGCCTCTTGATCCTGACAAGCCAAGCAAAGTGCTGACTGCTTCCCAGTTGCTTGCTTTCCCTGGGGTGGTGCTAAATGCTCAAGTTTGTGTGGATTCTCCAAATCCCACAGAGTTGTGCTGGTTTTCTGTGCATGCTCACAAGCTGTCTGCAAAGGCTCACTCTTGTTGCCTTGGAGGCATGCACAGAGAGCCAGCCGTAGTTTTGCATGTGTGCGTAGGTGAGGTGCACAGAGTGTTGGAAGTGCCCATCGGTCCACTGGGATAATCCACAGGTGAGGTGTCCCCCATGGCTCATTGACAAGCTTCCTAATGGAGTCCTTGAAGCTGTTAATAGGATCTGCTTCCCTCTGTTGCCCTTTGAAAGCCCTGGCTGAAGTTCTCCCATCCACTTCTTGCCCTCCTGTTGTGTAGTATGCCTTAGTTTTCTTGACAGGGTGAGAAGGAAGTGAATCTCTTTGTCAGCATCCTGCACACCCAGGGAAGCTTTTCCCTCAAGCACAAATTTTCATTTTCTCCCACGGAAGAAATCATGGACGCAGAAGGTCGCTCTGGGCACTGATCTGTGCCACTTGTGGTAGGGGTGATGCAGGTAAAGTGAAAGTGTTCCTTTTACCCTCTTCAGTGGATTTTTTGCTTTTACTACAATGGTATTGGAAGTTCTCTGCTGGACTTCCAGGCTTCCACAAAGGCACTATCATTAATACTTGATTGTCAAAATTGGTGTTCTTTGAGGGGAAGGTGATAGAAAACTACTATTTCACCATTTTGATAAAAAATACCTTTTTATATTGTGTCCATTAACATATTTAATAGTTAGGGCTATTTTTATACTTTTGTCTTTTACCTTCTATATCAGAATCAATAGTGGTTTATACACCACGTCTACATTATTACAATATTCTGTTTTTGTCCAAATTTTTGCTTATATCAACAGACTCTGTACTTTCATATGCTTTTGTGGTGCTGTTCAGTGTCCTATTATTTCAACTTTTAGGACTCTAGTATTTTTTTTTAAGACATGTCTAGTGGTGATGAACTCTCTCAGCTTTTCTTTATCTGGGGAAATCTTTATTTGTCCTTAAGTTTTGAAGAATTGGTTTGCCAGATAAGTCTTCTTGGTTGGCAACATTTTTCTTTCTACACTCTGAATATATCATTCCACTTCTCTCTGGCCTGCAAGTTTTCCACTGAGAAGTCTAATAGTCTTGTGGTGGTCCTCTTATTTGTGACAAACCAATTTTATCTTGCTGCTACCAAAATTCTCTTTTTGTCTTTGACTTTTGAAAATTTGATTATAATAGTCTCACTGTGTTTTCTTTTGTTCATCCTACTTAGAGTCGGTTGGCTTTCTTGAATCTGGCTCTTAATTTTTTCCCCCAGATACGGAAAGTTTTCTACCATTATTTCTTCAAATAATCTGTCTGCTCCTTTCTCTCTCTGTTCTGCCATAATGCTTATATAGATCCTCGTATTGTCCCATAAGTCCCTTAGTTTTTCTTTATTCTTCTTCATTCTTTTTTCTTTTTGTTCCTCTGATTGAATAATATCAAATGACCTGTCCTTAAATTTGCTGATTCTTTTTTCTACTTGATCAAGTATGCTGTTGAAAGTCTCTAGTAAAGTCTTTAGGTAAGTTATTGTGTGCTTCAGCCCCCAGATTTCAGCTGTATAGTTCTTTTTCTTTGTGCTGTATAACTTTGTTGATGTGCTCATTTTGTTCATGCATCATTTTCTTGAGCTCATAAAGCATCTTTATCACTGTTTAAAAAATTCTTTGTTGAGGTAAGTGATGTTACTCCATTTCATTTTGTTCATTTTCTGGAGACTTATTTTGTACTTTTGTTTGAGCCATGTTTCCTGCTTCTTTGTGCATTTCATAACTTTGTGTTGGGATTCATGAATTTGAAAAAATAGCCACCTCTTCCAGTCTTTATAGATTGGCTTTGTGTAGGGCAAAATTCTCACCAGTTATCCAGGCTAGAGATTTGGGGGTCCTCTGAAGCCTTCTTCTTTTGGTAGATGCAACTTCTCTGGGCCTGTGCATACAGTTTCGTAATTAAAGAGGCTTCCCAAGTTCTTTCTCAGGCGCTGATAATCTCTTGTTCCCTTTGTTGTATGTGTCTGCAGTACTGCAAGTTCCCTGGTTCAAGAGAAACAAGCTGCCCACTCACCTTTTTCTCAGTGGCATCCAAAGGTGTTAAGCTTCCCTTTAGTGCCCTGATTTAGATGAGACAGATATCAGTCTCTTTGGTAGCCCTCCAAAAGGCCAGAACACTTTATGCATGCTCCACTTCTCTTCCTTTCCCCTTGAAGGAAAGGCCTAATGTTCTGCACCATCTGTAGATCCTGCCAAGCCATGCTGGCCACTGCAAACCACTACCCTCTGCTTTCCTTTACTCTCAGTGGTCCCAGGCATCCAGACTCTGCCAGTTCTGTCAGCATTCCACGTGAAATAAGACAGATACTAGTCCCTCAGGCTGGTACATGGGGTGCATGCTCCATCCTTCTCTTTCCTGTGATGGACTGATCACAACCTGGGGCATTCTTTACCAGCATTTAGTTGTGCCACCTTGGGGGAGGTGGTAATGCAGGTAGAGTGAAATTGTTCTTCTTACCAGTTTTAATGTGGCTGTTGTCAGCTTTGTGCTCACTTATGGTACTGCAACTTCTTAATTGGATTCTGAAAATCTCATAAAGTAGTTTTAGTCCGTTTATCACTACTTAATCAGTGTTTCTATGGGGAACAAAGGCTAAGACTTCCTAGTCTACCATCTTCCTGTTGGCACTCAACCACAATACTTTTGATTCAAGTCATCTTTAATTACAGCTATAGATGTGAATTTTGAATCTTTTTACATATAATGATATTTTATTGATAATTTGATTGCAACAATTTTATTTTATGGATTCCCTATCAAAAAAGAAAACTTTTTCTTTAGTGTAATTTCTTTACCAGAAACATGATAAACTTGATTTACATGATGGAAAAAATTTAAAATTTATTAAAATATCCTGTTCTGTGGCTGGCTATACAGAAAAATATCCCAGAAATCTCCATAGGGCAGCTGCCCAAATAAATTATTTTTTGATGGTGATTGGAAATACTGGAAATTTACTTCCTAAGGAGGGATTGTTTTTTAACATTAAAATGAAAAAATAAAAGAACCCCTTTTATCCATTTACCATTTTTGTTTGCATGGGATTTATGCTTGATATAAAAATTTCTCATTTTCTTTTTAATTTAGACAAAAAAATCCATCTTATAATAATTCTTTCAGCACTGATAACTTTAGTTTTTAAAGGATATCAAATGATATAAAATGGCCTCTTTAAATGTTTTTTTCTTTTTCCCTCCCAATTAACAGGCACTTTGGCTGAAAAGGGTACAAATAAAGGCAATGGATGTGAATAAATGTTAAAAAAAATCACATTATTTAATTAGCTATGTTGAAATGGTCTACATAAGTTACGGTAAAAGTGATGTGTTGATTTTATGCATGTTGAATATTTTGCTGTTAAGGAATTTGTTGGTAAGATTTTGATTTAGAGTGTCTAAAATTATCTTTACCTGTTATCTCAAAGACAAGTGGTTTCATACATATATTTTGATGGTGTTTTAAAATTGCTTCTGATTCTTTAGCTTCACCCTGTGACCCCACTTTTATCCTGGGCTGTGCTCCCTGCAATGTGATCTGCTCCATCATATTCCAGAATCGTTTTGATTATAAAGATCAGAATTTTCTAAACATAATGAAAGTCTTTGATGAAAATTTCAAGATTCTGAGCTCTCCATGGATGCAGGTGAGGCCAAGATTCTTCCTTCCTGAGGAATCATTTATGCTCTGTTTCTCCAAAAAGTCCAAATCTATATATGCACCAAGCTGTGAAGTGAATCTGTAAATGCTACAGTGCTGCCCCGAACTTAGTGTCATGGAGTGAATATGTCAAAAAGATGGCTGAGCCCTTTAATGACAGACAGGAAAATACATGTCCAGAATACAGAACTGGAATTCAATCCCATTGACCTTGTCCAGTGTTTTTTCCACTAAACTCCAAAGCCCAGTGTTCATAAAGTACTTTTGTAACTTCCCTAAAGCATACCCATGACACTAAATGGACTTCCAGGCCCTTCTTGAAAGTATTCCATTACACACAAGTATCATCATTCAATCAACACTTAGCGACGACTTCATCACATTTGTTGGCAGAAATTTCTGCATTTGGGAAGGAAGAGAATATCTCCTTCAAATAGGGAGAATGTCTGGGACCACAAATGTTGCCAGGCAACACTATCTAGGGTAGAAGTGTTTGATGCTTCAGTTCGCATTCTAACTGACCAGGTAATTTTTGGGGGAATGACAAAATGATTGGTTTTATGGTAGATGAATCATAACCAAACATCACAATTTTACTTAGGCTGAGCTGACATGTTGTGCATTATGCCTAAAAGAAAATGGTGTGATCTTAGAGAAGTCACTTAACTGCTCTGTTGCACACTTACTTTATACAGAAAATGTTGAGTTGTGTGTGGCATCTGCATAATGTGAATCATAACATTTCATGCCATTTCATATTTTAAAATTGTAGGGAAGAACTGATGTAAAAAGAGTGAATTGAAATGAAGATGTTTTTATACTGTAAGATGATGTATGAGTATAGGAAATATTTATCTTTGATCCTCTGGTCAGAATTTTCTGCCTCAAATGCATTTATCAGCATAGAAAATAATGTATGTGTCAAATAAAAATTTCTCTTCAAGACAGGCACCATATTTTATTAATATTTATAGTGCAGTTTCTAACCAGGGCTTGGCAGATGGTAGATGTCTCCATTAAATACCTTTTATTTAATAAGCTATTGTTTTCTCTTCTAGATCTGCAATGCTTTTCCTGCTCTCCTTGAGTATTTCCCAGGGAGTACTGACAAATTATTTAAAAATGTTGCTTATGTAAGAAGTTATATTTTGGAGAAAGTAAAGGAACACCAGGCATCTCTGGACATTAACAATCCTCGGGACTTTATTGATTGTTTCCTGATTAAAATGGAGCAGGTAAAATGTTAACTGCAGCTAAGTTATTTGAATATTTGTGTATTTTGTGGTTCATTAAATAGTTCTGTATTTACCAGGGATCTTTTGATGGTCAGGCAAGTAATGCTGACAAGCATTTTAAGTACCCATTGTATGCATGAATCTACTCTAAGCATTATGGAAGATATAAAATTAAACTGTTAGATTATTTTAGGAAGTATTGCCATAATAATATTAGATATTCCAATACTTGCATATGGGATAGTCTTCCGTTTATTTAGATATTCTTTATTTCATTTGGCTATGGTTTTTATTTTTCAGTGTATAAGCCTTTCACCTCCTTTTTTAAATAGATTATTAGTTATTCATGCTTTTTGATGCTGCTGTAAATGAAATTATTTCCTTAGTTTCATTTTGAGATGTTCATTACTGGTGTAGAGACACACTGATATTTGTGTTTAATTGCTGTTGAATAGAGACATAACTGATTTTTCCATAGGTCTTGTATTGTGCAATTGTGTTGAATTAATTTATTATCTCTAGTAATTTTTTGTGGATTCTGCAGGATTTTATATACAGAATCATGTTATCTGCAAATAGACATAGTTGTACTTCTTCCTATCCAAATTGGATGCCTTCTCTATCTTTTTTTTTTTTTTTTGCCTCGTGTCTGTCTAGATCTTCCAGTACAATTTTAAAAAAATAGTGTTTTCCAAACTTTATTGAGGTATAATTGACACATAAAAACTGTGTCATTTAAAGTATACAACATATTTTTTTGATATACATATGCTAGCGGCTGGGCTCAGCAGTTGGGTAGGGCTGCTGACTTGCTTCCCGGCATAGGCAGGCCATAGAGTGTATGATGTAAGAAAATCCTCCCCTGCTCTCTTTTGATTGACATTTGCGTGGAATATCTCTTTCCATTCCTTCAATTACAGCCTATACAAAATAGAGTTTAAGTCAAAAACTGTTACACGAGACAAAAAAAAGGTCATTATATAGTGGTAAAAGGATCAATTCATCCAGAGGATATAACAATTGTAAATATATATGCATCCAACATCAGAGCACAAATACATTAGCAGAACATTCTTCAGAGTGTTCTTGTTTGGCAGTTTTTGTCTTTCAGCACTTTCAAAGTATCATCTCACTCTCTCCTGGCCTGCACAGTTTCTGCTGAGAAATTTGCTGACAGTGTTTTGGGGACTCCACTGTATGTAATATGTCACTTTTTTCTTGCTGCTTTCCATATTCTCTCTTTGTCTTTGACTTGTGGCAATTTGATTATAATGTATCTTGGTGTGTAGCTCTTTGAATTCAATCTGTTTGGATTCTTTTGTACTTCATGAATTTGGATTTCCCTCCCCAGATTTGGACAGTTTTTAGTTATTATTTCTTGAGATAGTCTTTCTCTCTTTTTCTCTCTCTCTTCTCTTCCTGTGACTCTCATAATTTGTATATTGGTTTGCTCAATGGGAAATCTTAAGTAAGGATTTCTTCACTCTTTTTCATTCTTTCTCTCTTTTTTCTCCTCTAGCTGGATAATTTCAAGTAACCTGTATTCAGGTTCACTGATTTTTTTCTTCTGCTTGATCATATTTGCTTTTGAATGTCTCTAGTGAATTTTTCAGTTCAGTATTCTTCAGTTCTAGTATTTCTGTTTGTATTTTTTTACTGTTTATATCACCTTCTTTTTTTTGGTGAGGAAGATTGGCCCTGAGCTAACATCTGTTGCCAATTCTCCTCTTTTTGCTTGAGGAAGATTGTCACTGAGCTAACATCTGTGCCAATCTTCCTCCATTTTGCATGTGGGACGCTGCCACAGCATGGCTTGATGAGTGGTGTGTAGGTCCACACCCAGGATCCAAACCCATGAACCACAGGTCGCTGAAGCAGAGGATGTGGACTTAACCACTACGCCACTGGGCCAGCCTTGTGTCACTCTTTTTGAGCTTCTCTTTTCTTTATGATTTTCCTGATTTTATTTAAGTGTCTGTGTTCTCTTGTAACTCAATGAACTTCTTGAAGATGGTTATTTTTTATTTTTTTGTCAGGCAGTTCACAGATACCTGAAGGTTTCATTCAGGTTGGCTACTGGAGATTTATTTTCTTCCTTTGATTGTGTTGTGTTTATTGATTCTTCATGTTTCTTGTAGGTTTGCTTTGTTATCTGCACATTTGATGAAGCAGCAGTCTTTGCTATTCTTTATGGAATGATTTTGACTGGGAAAGACTTTCACTAGTGAGCAGTACTTGATATGAGGCAAGATAGAGACTGCCCCCATGAGACAATACTGTAAGGCTTGGGGAAAAGAGCTCTTCACCTCCTTTCCTCACTCCTAGAGGAAAAACCTCAGCTTTGTGGTTTTTTCAAAATACACAAGTAGTGCCACCTTCAGGAGGATCTCTGCCCCTTTTCTTTGTTGCTAGCTGTCTTATGAAACTGAGTCTACAGTTTGCTCAGTGCTTGGTATGAGGCAAGATAGAAACTGGCTTCATGGAAGGCACTCTGAAATGCTGGGATAAGGCTCCCTCTACTTCCCTCTTTGTGAAGGAAAAACCTCAGCTCTGCACCTATTTATTCCCAATCTCTCAGAGCAGTGCTGCCTGTAATGACTCACGCTTCCCTTTACTTTTCACCTAGTTGTTCCTAGGGACCAGTTTCTACAGGTTATTCAGTGCTCAGTTTGAGGCCACACAGAAACTTCCTCCTTCTGAGTGCACTGAATTGCTGACTTTAAGCTCCTCTTCACTTTCTTCCTTTCCTTGTGAAGGAAAACCCTCAGATCTTTGCCCCTTTCGCAATCTCTTGGAGTATTGCTGGCTGTAAAGGGCTATCCTTCTCCTTTGTTTTTTTCCAGCTGTCCCTGGGCACAGGGCTCTGCAGATGATTCAGTGCCTAGTATGAGATAAGATAAAAACTGCCCCTATGGAGGGTGCCTTGTAGGCCAGGAGGCCAGGCAGCCAGGCACACACTCCACTCACTTCTCCTCCTGTAGAGAAATCATAGACTGAGGATCTTCTCAGTGCTGAGCTAAGCTTATCTGGGAGAGGAACTGAGATGGGTAAAGCAAACTTGCTCTTACTGGTATAAATGTGAATACTCTCAGTATGTGCTCCTCTAGGGTGTTTCTACTTCTTTACTGGATTCCGAATTTCTCTTCAAGGTATTTTGGTAGCAAAATCATTGTTTTATCAGTGTTTCTGTGGAGGAGTGAGAGGTAGGTTTTCCTACTCTGCCATTTTGCTGACATCTCTGCCTTTCCAGGGCTATTGAACAGGAATGGTGAAAGTGGACATCATTGTTTTCCCTCTGATTTTGGGGATATCCTTTTAGTCTTTCACAACTGAGTATCATTTAGCTTTGGACTTTTCATAAGTTCACTTTATCAGGATAAGGAAGTTCTCTTCTATTTGTAGTTTTCTGAGTGTTTTTTTTACCATCATGTTAATTTCTGTCAAATGCTTTTTCTGTATCTATTGAAGTGAAAATGTTTTCTTTTCATCCGAACAATGTGTTGTATTACACTGATTGATTTTGTTATATTGAATCCCCTTTGCATTTCTGGAATAAATCCCACTTGGTCATGGTGTATAATTTTCAAATTAAAAAAATTATGGTGTAAAATACACAGAACATGAAACTCACTATTTTAACCATTTTTAAGTATGTAGTTTAGTGGTATTTAGTACATCCACATTGTTGTGCAACCATCACAACTATCTCCAGAATTCTTTCCATCTTGCAAAACTGAAACTCTGTACCCATTAAATAATAAGTCCTATTTCCTTTCTCCCTAGCCCTGGGAAATCATGATTCTGCTCTCTGTCTCTATGAATTAGACTACTCTATATACCTCATTTAAGTAGAATCATACAGTATTTGCCCTTTTGTAACTGGCTTATTTCGGTTAACATAATGTCCTGAAGATTCATTCATGTTGTAGCACTTGTTAGAATTTTCTTCATTTTGATAGCTGGATAATATTCCATTTCATTTATATACTATATTTCACTTATCCAATCAACTGTCAGTGGACACCTGGGCTGCATCCACCTTTTGTTTATTGTGAATAATTCTTATGGTTGTGCAAGTATCTCTTTGATATTCTGCTTTTAACTATTTTGGGTGTACATCTAGAAATGGAATTGCTGGGCTTTATAGTAATTCTATTTTTAATTTTGGGGGGAACAGCCATACTCTTTTTCAGTGACTACATCATTATATATCCCACCAACAGAGCACAAGTATTCCAATTTCTCCATATCCATGCCAATGCTTATTTTCTGTATGTTTTTTTTTTGATACTAGCTATGTAATGGGTGTGAGGTGTTATAATTGGGTTGCGTTTCCCTATTGATTATTGTTTCTGAGCACTTTTTCATGGGCTAATTTGTCATTTCTTCTTAGGAGAAATGTTTATTTAATTCTTTTGACTATTTTAAAATCAGATTTTTATGTGTGTGTAATCCTTTTAATGTGCTGTTGGATTTGATTTGTTAGTAATTTATTGAGAATTTTTGCATCTATATTCATAAAGGAGATTGGTCTTTTCTTGTGATGTCTTTGTCTGGCTTTTGTATCTTGGTAATGCTGGCCTCATGCAATGTGTTAGGAAGTATTCTTTTGTCCTCTGTATTTGGAGGTGGTTAAGGAGGAAAGGTTTTCATTGTTCTAAAAATATCTGGTAGAATTCACTAGTGAAGACATCTGGTCCTGGGCCTTTCTTTTTTGTCAGGTTTTTGATCACTGACTCAATGTCTTTACATGTCCAGAATTCAGAACTGGGATTCAATCCCATTGACCTTGTCCAGTGTTTTTTCCACTAAACTTCAAAGCCCAGTGTTCATAAAGTACTTTGGCAACTTCCCTAAAGCATGCCCGTGACACTAAATGGACTACAATTTGCTTTGGATATCCAGGGTCTTGTCGTTGTTCTAGGATTTTTTTCTATTTCTGTGAAAAATACCATTTGAATTTTTCTTTTAAAGCTTGGCACCTGAGCTAATATCTGTTG